AGTACCCATAACACAAGCTTTAGCTAGCTTAACTGGGAGCTGAGAATAAATAAAAAAAATTCTTGCATTTCCTATTACTAGTAATCCTTACTAACAAACAGTATGTTGTTGTTACCAAATAATTAGAAATAAACATAGTTTTTTGCTGTCAGCAAGATTTGAAGTTACGACCTGTCTGTTTAAATCTGAGTAGCTTCACTAATAAATAGTAACAAATATAAATAATACACTAATAAAAATATACTATATTAATTTTTTTATTCTGTATTTCATACAATAAAGTATATAAATCTTAATATAATATTTTATATAATAAGAAATAATAATTCGTAAGTATGTTCGTTACTCTTTCACGCTAAAACTACAGAACGGATTTTGATGAAACTTTACAGTAATATAGCTTATGCATAAGAATAATATTTAGACTGTTTTTTTATTGAAATTTAACACGAGTGACCGGCGTATATAACTAGTAAATAAATAAAAATAAAATTATCACTTTCGATACACAATACGTCGCTGTCATTATGTTCTAGATGCAACAGGAGCGTCCGTACGTTCCATTAGTACAAATACAAGAGAAACATATTTCAAAATATTCCCAGATGCTGAAAAATGTCTTGAATACAGAATCACGTTCACGGCGCATTTCCTAACAAATAGTTTTGCACGTGGTGTTTGCGTTCCGTTCCACGGACCTGATATATAGGTACGTTCCGTTCTACGGAACGATATCTGGTAGACATTTTTCAAACTCTATCAGTCTATTAGTTCCTTGAAAGAAGAAAGTTATACATCATCGATCCATAATTATGTTAATAAATGAAATAGAATATAAAATTCTTTATTCAAATGAACTTTAAGCATTTCTCTATTCTAGCGCCAATTCGGAATTCTCATCATAGGACGAAAGAGCAAGAAACTTGCGTGTAGCTCTTTAAAATAATCGTTGTAACTTTACATTTTTAAGTTGAAATAAATAAAATCGAACTATCAACTAGCACTAATTCATTGTGTCTGTATGTCTGTGTGATTGATACCCTTTCACGACTAAACGGGTCTTAATGAAATTGGACGTGGCGTGATATAAGTTCAAACAATGTTCAGATAACAGCTAATCTACTGGGTAATGACTTTATTACTTTCTTATAGTAATACACCCATGTTTTTAATTGTGTTATAGTGAATACAACTAAATAGTTTTTTTTTCGGACTACTCTAATGCTGTTGGCCGCAGCTGGCCTTACAGCTTCACCGGACGATAGGGGGCGAGTGCAGATGGCACTCCAAACCAATGGAAGGACTTACAGAGCGGCTGAAGGCCAACTCCTGCCTGACTGGCCTTTACAGCTTCACCGAACCGGGGCGAGTGCAGAAGGCACTCCAAACCGCGGAAGGACTTATGGATCGGCTGAAAGCCAACTCCTGACGGATACCACTTTAGTCTGGGGGCACCGCTAGGGATTCGAACCTCGGCTCACGCCGTCGTAACTTGAATGCCCGTTACAAATGTATGGGGGATCGATCGGTGGGGCAATTGAATATTAGAATTGCTATAGGTTATACGGAACCTAAAAATCAAAAACATAGCGCATTGTAGAAATGAAATGAATGAATGATTGAAATGAAATGAATGAAATGATCGAAATGAACAAAATGATAGTAATGAATGAATTGAACGAATAGAACGAAATGAACGAAATAATCGAAATGAATGAAATGAACCAATTGAACGAAATTAACAAAATGAACGAAATAATCGAAATGAATGAATGAAATTAAATAATTTATTTACGAAATATAGGTACAGTATTATAATTAATATGATGTTACATGAAATGGATTGATCAGCAATATTTATCATACAGGCATGCAAATTACGTGAAGGTTTAAAATTACCAAGTGACAGCCAATTCTTTAGTTTGCGTTTAAGTAACGTATGAGATCCCAGTTCTTTAATCTCTCTTGGAAGATTGTTGTACAAACAACGGTATCTAGTGACAAAAATATAAATTAAATTTCTAAAAGAACATTAAATTAATAATTAAGAAATATTTATATTATTTCTTAATTATTAATTAGTGAGCAAAAGTAAAATTTTTAGACGGGATTATTTTAAGTTGGATTAATTTTAATTAAAACGGTAAACTGAAATAACAGAGAACTACTTTAATATCTGAAGTGTCTGCAAAATGAACGATAAATAATTCTCTTTCGAGAATACTTTGTTTTGTTTTATTTTATTTATTATTTTATTAAATCCGTAAGTAGTTATATTCTTATTACTTATATACTTGTTATAGCTGTTGCTAATACGGAAACGGACGGTAGGGAAAAAAATAAAATTAGAATGTAAAAATTTGACGTTCATAAGCGGCTAAAATGTTCTACATGAATAAATGATTTTTGAATTTGAATTTAAATTTGAAATTGCTGATGAGGAGCACGGCCTTGTACTTTGTGCCCGTACTTCAAAATGACGGATCAGCGCCCCACATCTTCGTTGACCCACCGCGCTGGGCAACTGCTAACTCAACATCTTAATGAGTGTTTCCACGTCTCAGTATATGTTAATTTAATTCAATTCGGTACTAACTTCTTCCGAAGATAGTTATAGTCATATTTTAGTTTGTAATATTTCATTTTTAATTAAATCTATTAAAATAATTTCGGTTTTTTGTTTAACTCCTGGGGCTGCGACACATGTAATTTACTATATTAATTTATATATGTTTGCTTATTTTTGTGTATATGTTTCATTGTGACTCGTATTATTTATTGTACCTGTTTCCATCACTCCACAATTCCTCTGAGGAACTCAAAGGTGGACTGGATGAAATCCCTCTTTTGGGATAAGACTTGTATTGATTGTACGCAATTTTTTTTATTTAAGGGGGTCTTCCTATGTGACGGCCTGTTTTTTAGGGATATTTTAGGATTTTTTTTCTACGACCAGTAAATATTTAGAGCTTCAAGTTTTTTATCATTTATTAACACAAATTTCAGCTAAAAATATTCAGTCAAACTAGAGTTACAGCGCTCTGAACACCCCCGCCTCGAAAAAAAGAGCTCCCACTTCCTCCACGATTCCGGCTGATCGGTCTATTATTTATTTAATATTTTCTTATCTGAAAAAAAAAAAAAAACGGCGTTTTAATTTGTAGGCTTAAAAGCACGGAATGACCTATAATCAAATGAATATAAAAAAAATTGGATTTTTGATAGACATTTGAAATAAAAGTTGCAAATTAGGCGTTTTTTTTTTTTGTTCTTTGCTATAAAAAAATCGAAGTTTTGAAAATTTTCGATTGATAATAGTTCATTCCATGCGTTTACATATATTGAGTGTGCCCTGTAAATTTTAAGTAATTCGGTCCAGCCGTTTCTGAGATACAATGGAGGAAAGTTTGAAAAACACAGTTTTGAGAAAAACGCGTTTAAAGTTTCAAGTCCGTTAAAAACTATTAATATCAACTTAACTCTCAATCGGCGATGCCTGGTCCATAGAGTATTCCTTCCTCTTCCTCGTGAAACTCATTTAAAGCAGATTGTTCAGCTCTAGAGTCAATCCTGGCTTGTTTAACGACATCACTTACGCGCCGCTCAGAGCGTAAGATTCGCTTTTCATCCCGTTTCTCAACATACGCTTGGGCTTCACGACCAACAGGGCATCCCATAATCGACATAACTTTTAAAACCTTCATTAAAGATAATAACTGCTAAGTAGCTAGCAATTTCAACAACTTTGGGACCAGAATGAAGATGTTTAGGAGCGAAAGTCCAAATCAAAGAATTGATCGCGAAATAGACACGTCACTTTTACAAGTTTTACATATAACTATTTCAGAGATTGCAGCAAATACAGAAACAAACTCCAAAATGCAATATGCGAAATTCGAAGCGATGGGAACATTCATGTTCATGTTATTTTTAAGTTTTTTGGCCGTAGCTGATGTAAATACCGTATCATTTTGGTGGGTAAAACGGTTTCCACTACTTTATTTTTTACTACGACCAGGATGAACATTTCCACTCGTACTTCCTTTCCGTCCACTCATTATGAAAAAAAATAATTTGTAGCTGTTGCTCTTCGAAGTTCAACCAAGACTAAAATAACTTCGGTAAAATATTATAACAATAGAAATTTCTGTTTAAGTCTGTAGAAACGTGTCTAAACTTGTATAAACAAATATATTAATTTGGAGGCCAGGTATAAAGCCGAATATATATAGTCTCTAACTGCCAACTCACCGCTCGAACCGCTCTTTCTTTTACCTGCTGTATCTTTAAAACGACTTCGAATTTTCTAAAATCGCTTTACTACCGTATTCTAGACATGTTAAGGGAGCAATTTATTAAAAAAAAAAAAAATCGATTTTTTCAACCCATCACATAGGAAGACCCCCTTAAGCCAAAGTGTCCGTTTATTTATAATATTATTACTGACGACCTCGGTGGTTTAGAGGTTTAGCACACCGCTTTACGTCCGATGGTCGCGGGTTTGATTCCTCGCACGGCACAAACATTTGTATTCATGAGTATGATTGTTTGTATCGGTCTATTATTTATTTAATATTTTCTTATATTTTATCTCGAAAACGGCGATTAATTACTAATTAATCTATACATATATATAAATGAAATTGGAGTGTCTGTTTGTAATATTGGAATAACCGTTTTTTACTACATGCATATGAATATAAATACGGTTCATACACCAAAATAACATTTTTTACAATTTTTGTCTCTCTGTCTGTCTGTTTGTTCCGACTAATATCTGAAATGGCTGGACCGATTGTGACGGGACTTTTTTTGGCAGATATCTGAATAAATTAGGTAATTGATTAATTAATTAAATAATTAACTTAACTTAATAACTACGTTTATTTTAGAAAAATCTTTTATTTTAGAATAATAGAGTTAAATTCCACGCGGACGAAGTCGCGGTAACAGCTAGTCAATAAATAAACGGCATTAAACTATACCTGTTTTGTTCACAGTCAAACCCAAGTCAGTGGAAGTGACGGCAGGTGATCAAACCTTAGCTGATGGTGCAGTCTTGGGCCCCTTACTGGAGAGGACCAAGATCGACATCAGTTGCACTGTGATTGAAGGGAAACCGCAGCCGAAGGTGGTTTGGTACTTTAATGGGAAGCAGAGGCTGGATGGTAAGTTATATTGTATTTTTTAATAGAAAACCTGTCTAATCTTCAAACGGTTAGAGCTCATTTTGTAATGTACTGACTATTGTTTGATGCGGTCAAAATTATATGAGTACTAAATAACTGATATAAATATATAGAATAGAATATATCTTTATTGCTAACTGTGTGGGTACATTTTTTGTAGGTAGTATAACAATATATATAGTTTATGTATCAACAGTTTCACCCTATCGGGCATGCAACAATTTACATACAGATAATATAGATTTTATATACATGTCTTAATTACAAAACAAAGAACCTAAAATTAAAAAATCTTAAAACAATTTTTTTTTTTTTTATTTATTTTTGTGTACTACAGTCTGTCTCAACTAAACATTAAGTAGTATGTTTGTTGGGTTATCTCGTCGTGACAGGCTCGGTATGTGTTACACACATCCTACTTTACTTCATATATGCACTGCTTATTTGACATTTGGTCCTGAGGCATTTTGCGTTTTAGTCTGCGATTAGATTGGCTCACTTTCATCAGTGTCTTTGCCAGGCGGTTGGGATGATTTGTCATTTTTACATCGTATGATTTGATTTGTTTTAAAATCTCTTGTTTGACAGTGTCTATCTCCAGATCATGATGCAGTTGTTCATTTGTGACATACCAAGGTGCATTGGTTACCATCCTTAACATTTTGTTCTGAAATCTTTGTATGATTTATATGTTGGAGTGAGAGGCAGTCCCCCATAATTGGATGCCATAGGTCCAAATCGGTTTTAGTATGGCTTTGTAAACAAGGACTTTGCTGTTCAATGACAATTGTGACTTGCGACTTAACAACCATTAGAGTTTCCGCATTTGCAATCCCATTTGTTTGCGTTTGGTAAATATATGTTTTTGCCATGTTAATCGCTTATCCAGGTGTAAACCCAGGTATCTAACCTAGTCTTTTTTAGGTATCATTAGATTGTTGAGCGTAACTGGTGGGCAGATGCCTTTCTTTAAGGTAAAGGTGACATTAATTGATTTATTTTCGTTTGCCTTAATTCGCCACTTCTTAAGCCAGTTTGATAGGTCATTTAGCCCAGTCTGCAGGAGTTTTGTAGCCTCTATTGGGTCCTGATGAGAAGGCAATATCGCAGTATCATCGGCAAAGGTACCAGTAGTTATACCATCTGGAGTTGGTAAATCAGAGGTGTAGAGCAGGTAGAGCAAAGGTCCCAAAACGCTGCCCTGGGGGACTCCCGTTTTAACATTACAAATTTTTGACAGCGCTTCTCCATTTTGGACAATGAAGTGTCTATCCTGAAGGAAAGACTTGACTGTTTCATAAACGTAAGTGGGGAATAGTGGTTTTATTTTGGATAATAGTCCCTCATGCCAAACTCTATCGAATGCTTGGGATATGTCAAGGAATACGCTCGCACAGTAACTTTTGTTTTCAAAGGACTCATCTATTACTGTTATGAGCCTGTGTATCTGATCGATGGTGGCGTGCTTATGACGGAAGCCGAACTGGTGATCAGGAATGAGGCCCTTCTGCTCTACTATTGGCATTATCCGTAGTAGAAGCAGTGATTCATAGATTTTCGACGGTATAGGCAGCAGACTAATTGGCCTGTATGACTTAGGATCCTCTGGTTGTTTATCTGGTTTTAATAACATGATTATTTGCGCAGTTTTCCATTGTGGAGGAATAAACCTTAATTTCGTTATGGCATTGTATATTCTTGTGATTAGTATTAACCCAGATTCGGGTAATTCTTGAAGGATTTTATTGGTAATGAGATCGTATCCTGGTGATTTCTTTAGGTTTCCTTTTAAAATTTGTCCCCTGACCTCTCTCTCTGTGAATTTCCAAGGTGTTACTTCATCCGCTCTTGTCGTATTCAGGATTTCCATCACCAATTCCTGGTGGTCTGGTGGGCCTTCGTAAGGATGTGGTTGGAAAACATCTGCTAGGTGATCGACAAATGTGTTGGCCTTTTCCTGGTCACTGCGTGCCCAACTGTTATCCTCTTTTCTCAGTGGAGCCGACGTGATTGTCGATCGCTTAATTTTTCTAGTTGCCTTCCAGAGGGAGTAGTCAGTGGCAGCAGTAGCATCAAGGCCCTCAAGGTAGGCTTGAAATTCTGCGTTACGGTCGTGATCAAGAATACTTTTTAGTTCTCTTATTTTGTGGTTTAGGTGTCTTTTTGTGTCGGGGCATCTATTTTGTTGTCATAATTTTCTGAGGGCCCTTTTCTCGTGATTTTTTTTTTTTTTTCCAAAAATTAAAAATATAATATAATAACTAAAATACATTATGGTACGTGATGATGCGGCTCGAATGCTCAAATGGTAGGTGATGTTGGCTTCAGCAGTTTACGGGTTGTAGAAATGATAGATTTGCTTACCCCAAGTATCGTTTAGAAAAAGTTAATAGGTCTTTTATGGGAATAGGTATAAAAATTTACAATAAGATACCAAAGGATATGTTGGAATTACCCTTAAATAAATTCAAAACATCTGTTAAATTATATTTACTGAGTAAAGCCTATTACTCACTAAACGATTACTTGAATGACGAGTGTGCATGGCAATAGTTGTTCATGCACTGAATTTTCATTTAATGTTAGACATAGACACCTATATAAATATACATTGTAAATAAACTGGCTTTAAAAAAAAAAGTAATTCAATTGAGTTTCTTGCCAGTTCTTCTCAATTGGATCTATATACCGAACTGGACGGTAGGGAAAAAAATAAAATTATAATGTAAAAATTTGACGTTCATAAGCGGCTAAAATGTCCTACATGAGTAACTGATTTTTGAATTTGAATTTGAATATAGTCTTCAATTTAATTGGTAAATAGTGTGATGAATTACAATTTTGGTGGAGTGAACAAAAGTACGTTAGATCGGTCGGTTGATATTTTAAGTCTGTACGTTACTTTGCGTATTTAAATTGGATGGGTGTGCGGTCCAATCAGAACGCTTCCTTTGTTTTGTTACTGCTTGGTACGCGACACATTATTAAAAGGAGTCATTTTAGGCAAAGTTCCGAAGATACTGGCAGCGTTCCCCCTTCGAATGGCTAGACTAATTCTTTGTCCGAGGTAGCTGCCAGCTCTTCGGTCTTCTGGGATGTCGACTAACCTTTTTTTAGATACATTTTCTTTTGTAAATACATATACAACATACATATAAAATACCCAGCCACATACAAAAACTCATACACATGAGTACATTTTTTTTAATGATAATGGAATGGTGCACCCGCCTGCGCTAAAGGTTTGCGCTAGCGGGGCACCAGTGGAGGATGATACGATGAATATGAGGTCAGGTCAGTTAGCACATCGTGACAATTTCACCAGGAATTTGTCATGATGATTTCCAGGGGAACCGCATGGTGGATATGGTACATTACTAGCAATAAGGTAATCAGACCACAGTAACACTCCCTTTCCCTCCGGTACCAGTGGAGAATGATAAGATTCGAGGGTCAGGTCAGTTAGCTCATCGTGACAAATTCACTAGGAATTTATCACCATAGTTTCCAAATGGAACCGCGTGGAGGTCAACCTGACATGGTACTTTACTAGCAATAAGTTCAGTTTACAGTACTGACAATTCCTTTCTCCCTGCATACAAATATTTGTACTGTACTGGGTCGAACCTGCGAAAAGTATTTAGATAATGATTAAGACGGCGTGGTTAATTTAATTGACTTATATAAAAGGAGGCAATTCTAGTTTCTAATTTTTTTTTTCTATTTATCGATGATATATATATCGAAGAAGAAGACTTCCTAATTTTGATCCAATATACATAAAACAAAGTCTGCTGACTTCCAATTAACCTCTCGATCTCCTTAATGGGTAATAACATTGAATTGTGGTTGGTATTACCATTCTTACGCCCCGATGGCATATTTGCGGCGAAAATTGGTAATGCATTACGCATAATTTTGCTCATATTACACGTTAGGTTACTGAATTATGACGTCATTTGCGCAGAGGGCGCCGGCAGATTTGTGGGCGTGATGTGTTTGATCAAATGTTACAGCATCATGCCTTGAAATTACTTTATTATAAAACTAGCTGTGCCCAAGACTTCGTCCGCGATCTTGGTCAAATAAAGAAAGTATATTTAGTTAGATTATAATAGAATAACTCAAAAAAGTTTCATCGTTCTACTTAAAAAATGATGATACTTTCATACAACCTTTGATCACCGCTTTCAACCCCCTTACGACCCTTTTTTCGTACTGAAACATATGTCCTTTCTCAGTTTCAGTTCAGTTTGTTTGTGATTCCAATTATGTACGCAAAAAAACTTAATTCTTATTTTTAAATTGTTGAAAAGTCAAAGTTAGGTTGTAGCTGATAAACAAACATTTATTTGCGATTGGAATTATATAAAAAAAACTTAATTCTTATTTTAAAATTGTTGATAAATTTTAACGTTAGGCTGTAGCTGATAACCCAACATTTATTTGCGATTCGAATTACATAAAAAAAACTTCATTCTTATTTTAAAATTGTTGAAAAATTGTTGATGCGATTCGAATTACATAAAAAAAACTTCATTCTTATTTTAAAATTGTTGAAAAGTCAAAGTTAGGTTGTAGCTGATAACCCAACATTTATTTGCGATTTCAATTATATAAAAAAAAACTTAATTTTTATTTTAAAATTGTTAATACATTTTAGCTGTATGTACGTACTGTACAACTGATTTAATCTTATTGTATATTTATATTTACATTACACGTTTCGACTTGTAAAATGATGAACAAGGATTGTTTAAAAGAGCAACACACAAATTTCTTGTTTATTCTTCTTGTGATGAGACAGCTTTCCGAATAAGTAGATTAAAAAAAATTGTTGACTATTCTGTACAAAAGTGCATAAATTAAGTTTATTTGAATAATAATTTAATTGATTTTCTATTCTATTCTAGCTGATATTTATTTGCGATTCCAATTACGTAAAAAAAAAATCATAATTCTTATTTTGAAATTGTTGA